TGCAGCGGTGTACCCAGGGAGATACAGCGCTGCAAGTGCCCTGCCAGTGTGGACGGGGAGTGAGTTACAGCGCTGGGGGAGGCTTTACAGCGCTGTAACTTGCAAGTGTAGCCAAGGCCTTACACAGTAATATCCTGATCCTCTAGTTATTAACAATCACCAAGCAGAATACACACTAAGCACACAATGCCATGCTCAGTGCACGGTCGTGCAGAGGATTCTTAACAGCTCTGATCTTAGGCTGAGTCTTGGGGGTGAGTTCTTCTTCCTCCAGGTCTTTCCTTCTTATTCTTCTTCTCTTCCCAGGAGGTCTCCTTCTTGGACCCCAGTTTATAGAGTGAAACTTGAGTCCTGCTTAGCTAGACCTTAAACAATCATTTTACTGAAATCTATCTAGCCAGTCCTAACATATTGTAACATAATTCTCTGACCAATTATATCCCACTCCCCTAATTCACTTACACCTAGCAACATTCATTATACAGCTGACAGAAACAACTAAAGAACCAGACCGAGACCAGACAGATAAACTATAGGGAAGTGGGGACCATAATGACAAAACAATACAGAAATGAGGATTTCACAACCACAGCTATTGAGAAGTGATTGCTTGAGAGACCGATGCTGTCAAACTACGTGTTCTTTAGCCATCTTAAGATCTGTTTCTGTCTCTGGTGCTAGTGGGGCCATTCGGACGGAGTCTCCTTCTTCCCAGCCGGATCTGACAGTGGTTGAATGGAACGTAGATGGGATGTGAGGAGGTGACTTCCTGCTTCTCCGCTAACGGCTGCTGCTCCGCTGCTCTTTGAATCTGGCCGCAGACGAAGGCCGTAGGCTTTCGGCCTTACAACATGGCTGCAGACGAAGGCCTGATCCTTAGAGAGGGACCTGCTTGGCCACTATTTCATTAACCCGGGAGCATTTTGCCCACTTATGCCTGCCCGCCTCCAGATATTACAGCTCAGGTCTCTGCGGTTCCTTGGAGGTCTACCCACATCAGCTGTCACCCCTGGCTTGGATTTCCTTGAGCCTGACTTCTGGGGCACCCCATGTGAACCCTGTTTTGGGTCCCCCCCCACCTGGCTCAGTCCATTTTCATACCTGGACCTACTGTCCACAGATTCATCTGCCAACGCCCCTGCACTAAGCAGATCCTTACGCTTCCTGTCCACTAGCCACATTTTAAACTCGTGTGGACAGATCTCAGAGCTGCTCCAACCCATCCAGGTTATACAAACCCTCCAGCGTAGAGACGCCTGCGGCCGTACCCCATTTGTGGAGAGATTCTCCCAGCAGGGGGTGGTTTCCATATAGGTCACAGCTGGGGTATTTTGCAAACCCTGAAACCTTTTCCTGTGAGCCTGAGGTGTCAATTCAGACTTAAGCAGTAGAGCCTTTTGAACTGTTCATAGTCTCCAGTATCAACTCCGTCCCTCTGGCGTGGATCCACAGGATCGGTGCTATGCCCCCCGGCTCTGGAACAACGTCTAGGAGGAACAGTTCAGTGAACCAGACCCTCTAGAGATTTCACACGTCTGCCAGGGTGAGCCACACGGCTTCACCACCTCCTGAGACTGAACCTCTGGGATTCCCGGCCTCCTGCTTCACCCCATGAGCTCTGGTCGGCGAGTGCCACTGAGACAGACCCCGGGGAGAGACTTAGCCATTCTTCAGGGACTAACGCATCTCGCCCAGCATGTGCAGGGACACTCACCTAGCGCTGGGAAAGCAGTCGGGTTTATTAGACAACTGGCACCCAGCACAGGACGTCCTTGGGACAGGACAGAGAACTGAAGGTTAAAGCATGGTCCACTCTGGTCAGCCCAGACCCCAGCCAAGCTGTAGTGAACCCCACTGGTCAGGCTCTGTGTCTCTCCCTGTCTGACCTCCTTAGTCAGATCCCAGGAGCGAGCCCCGACTCCTTCCAGCAGCCAACTCATATCCCATCTCACACCACTCCACTCCTTTCTTCCCCAGCTGGCAAGTGGGGAAATCTATATCCCGCTGGGTCGCTGGTCACTAGGTGTCCATGTCCTGGGGACTGGGTTTTCCATTGTCTTCTCGGAGTCTCCACTGATTTGGGGTTGGCCTTTAATGTCCCATTCAGGGTCAGACAGCCCGGTAACATTCACACCAGTGTCTCTTAAGCCTGCCTGAGAGAACACTGTCCTTTTCCCTCCCATTGGGGAACCATGCGAAATGAGGCACACACAGGGGTCATAACAGTATTGCAAAAAATTCCCATTTCTTCACACTTGTCCACTTTTCAAGGACTAATGCACCTCACCCAGGCACACTCACACAGCGTTCTCGACACCATGGGGTTTTTTAGTCAACCGGAACACAGGCTAGGAAGTCCTTAGGTTAGCACCAAGACATAAAGGTTATCGCAATCCGTTCTGGTCAGCCCAGAGCAATCTACCAAGCCAAGCTGCAGTGAACTCCATTTTCAGGCTCTGTCTCTCCCTGACCTCCTTGGTCAATTCCCAGGCAAGAGAGCTCCCAGCCTCTGCAGACAGGGCCGGCTCCAGGCACCAGCTTAGCAAGCAGGGGCTTGCGGCGGCCACTCTGGAGGGGGCGGCACGTCCAGCTATTTGGTGGCAATTCGGCCGAGGTGCCGCAGATCGCAATCGCGGCTTTTTGGGGGGGCGGGGGAGCTGCTTGGGACGGCAAAAACCCTGAAGCCGGCCCTGTCTGCAGAAAGCACATCACAGGACATTTTGGAGTATTTGCTGCATTTGAAATCTTCAGGCCTGGCTCTGAGCTCCCTGAAGGTTTCACTTAGTGGTGACTTCAGCTTTCCATCCTCCCATTCAAAGGCAATTGCTATTCTCAAACCCTATGATGGTGAGGTTTTTAAAGTGTATTATCCATCTTTTTCCACCAGTGAAAGGACCGGTGCCATTGTGGGACCTTAACCTGGTCCTGGTGGCACTGATGGGTCACCATTCGAGCTGATAGCAACATGCTTATGGGCTTTCCTCTCTCAGAAGACGGCCTGCCTTGGGGCCATCATATCCGCAAGAAGAGTTAGCGACTTGCAGGCCTAAATGGCAGATCCTCCATATGCTCAGTTAAGAACATAAGAACGGCCGTACTGGGTCAGACCAAAGGTCCATCTAGTCCAGTATCCTGTCTTCTGACAGTGGCCAATGCCAGGTGCCCCAGAGGGAATGAACAGAACAGGGAATCATCAAGTGATCCATCTCCATCACTCATTCCCAGCTTCTGGCAAACAGAGGCTAGGGACATCATCCCTGCCCCTCCTGGCTAATAGCCATTGATGGACCTATCCTCCATGAACTTACCTAGTTCTTTTTAGAACCCTGTTATAGTCTTGGCCTTCACAACATCCTCTGGCAAGGAGTTCCACAGGTTAACTGTGCGTTGTGTGGAAGTTATTTACTTAACTATATTTTTCCCCAAACTACGTTGAAGTGCAGAGGAACAGCATCTGCATAGTTTAGATGCCAGGTGGTGCTTGTCATGTTATTTACAAAGGATTAAGCCATTTTCTTCACCACCTTATCTCCCATGCTGAGTGGATGAAGGGACAACCAGTCTTGGCTCAGCGCATATCCAGGCGATAACTGCCTGCATTACCATGGCTTCTGAGGTGGCTAGGATGACATCTCCACAGCCATTGCGGGGTCATTCAATGAGCGCGCAGGTGACATTGGCCACGTCTCTTAGCGCTGTCTCAGCGCTGGATGTCTGCCGTACTGCGATGTGGTCTTCTGTGCATACTTTCTCTAGACATGATGCAATCACCATGGCATCGAGCTCGGTGCAAATGTTGGGAAGGCAGTTCTGCGCTGACTGTTAAATAGACTCCGGGTCCACCTCGGGCTGGAACCGCCTGTGAGTGGAATACGTGTCTGCAGCCACTCGAGAAGAAAAGACGGCTACTCACCTGTATTGTAACTGGCGCTCTTCAAGATGCGGATACAGATGTGTATTGCACAATCCACCCCCTGCGTCGGAGTCTCCAGCCAGGGAGTTCGGTGCGAAGGACTGAGGGGGGTTGGGCAGCGCCACCCTTGTATAGCCATGGGAGAAGCTATGAGGGGAGGAGCGTGAGCGCCACCCCTAGGGACAGCTGGGCAAAATTCTCCCAGTTCAGTGTGCTGGGCGTGCGCACGCCTGAGTGGAATACATGTCTGCACCCACATCTCGAAGGACAATGGTTACGATACAGGTAAGTCACCATCTTTTCTTACCTTCCTCTCCCAGAGCAGAAGTTAACTCCTTCACACCCGTGGGGTAATAATACAAAGTGAGGGGAAACTGAGTCACGTACATTTCCATAAAAATATTACAAGGAAGCCCAGGTTCTCCGCAGCGCTGGTGTAATTACCTACTGGATCTTAACACATACGCACAACGGGAGGGTGAAGGCACCAGGCAACCTTCATTCTGGCATTTTCTACCTATTGTGGGCTTGGCTTTGCCACACTAGCATTATTCTAATGTAATTTTATGTGTGTAATTCTGTCTGCTCCTGGTGGCTCTTCACTCCTCTGCCAGCGGGGGTCAGCTGCCCTGGTGCTGTATGGAGTGGTCACCCCGAGCGCTAGATGGTGCCCTCAGGGGTGGGGGGACTGAGGCCTGGGCAGTGGAAGGGATAACCCAGGAGGCAGTGCGGGAATCCTCGCCCCCCCAGCCTTTGTGCTCTGGGAAGTGTGACCTGGACTGGAGCATGACAGGGTCTGTGTCCTGCCTGGGGAGCAGTCCCTGCCCACACTGGGTCACCGACCTTGGGCCAGCCGAGCTCCCCAGCTGCTCTCTGCCTTGCCCAGACTGACATTGCTAGTGGAATTGCCCTGGGAAAGCTCTGGGTTAAATCCCAGGGAGAAGGTTCGTGAGCTGCCGCCATGGGAGCCCAGAGAGGCCCTGCGAGATCCCCCACTCCCAACATTCCCTGTCCCCATTAGCACGGGAGCCCAGTTCGGGCCCCCGCGTGCTAGCCAGGAAGGCATTAGCCAGTGCTCTCTGTGCAGTGCAGGAAGGTGATCGACAGCTCCTACCGTGTGGCCAAGGCACTGGCAGACGATGTGGATTTCCACTGTTTCCAATTCTCCAATTTTGGGAAGGGCCTGATCAAGCTATTCAAGATCAGCCCCGACGCCTTCATCCAGATCTCGCTGCAGCTAGCTCACTTCCGGGTAAGAGCCGCCCCGTGACCCCGTCTGTCTCTCCCTTTCCCTACACCCGTGGCTCTCTCTGTCTCTGCCGCCCACAGAGACGGGTGCAGCTGGCTCACCATTTCCCAGCTCCGGGAGTCCTGGGGGCGGCAGAGTCTCGGCTGTTTCTAGCCCGTGTGGCTGCAGAGGAAAGATTGAACGTGGAAAGCCTGAGTGACCCCGTCGGCTCAGACCCGGGCAGCAAAGAGCAGCTCCCAGTGCGCGAGTTACAGTCTGGGGACTGTTTGGGGCTGGCAACGGTGCCGGGGGCTTGTCCGGCTCTGGTGCTGGGCTGCTCCCTCCCTGCAGCCCTCCCGGTCCCCACTGGCAGGGCACGAGCGAAGGGGTGAGGGGAGCCTCTCGGCCAGGCCCCATGCGCTGCTCTGCTGGGGCATGAGGGGCAGGTAGCACTCCTCATTCCCCCCCTCCTCCATGCCCCCTTCTGCCCCCCTCCCCAGCTCTGACCTGCCCCGTCTCCTTCCAGGACAAGGGCAGCTTCTGTCTCACCTACGAGGCGTCCATGACGCGTCTCTTCCGGGAGGGCAGAACTGAGACGGTGAGATCCTGCACCAGGGAGTCCACGGCGTTCGTGCGGAGCATGATGGACCCGGACCGGGGCGTGAGTGTAACTCTGCCAGGCCCAGACCCAGACCCCTTCTCCCCCCACGCCAGGCCCAGGGCCCCCCCCGTACTTCCCCCACGCCACGGCCCAGGGGGCCCCCCATATCCCCCCAGCCAGGCTCAGGGCCCCCCCATATCCCTCCAGCCAGGACCAAGGCCCCCCTGCATCCCCCCACACCAGGCCCAGGGCACCCCTGCGTCCCCCCAGCCAGGCTCAGGGCCTGCCCCATCTCTTCCCAGCTAGGCCCAGACCCCCCATCCCCGCATCCAACCCAGCCAGGCTCAGGGCCCCCCTGCATCCGCTCAGCCAGGCCCAGCCCGCCCCCCACACATCCGCTCTAGCCAGGCCCAGGGCACTCACTGCGTCCCTCCCAGCCAGGCTCAGGGCCTGCCCCACCTCCTCCCAGCCAGGCCCATGGCCTCCCTGCGTCCCCCCAGCCAGGCCCAGGGCCTACCCCCTCCCCCCAGCTCCACCTATCCCCCTAGGCCCACCCCGCACCTCTGGGCTAAGTCAGGGACCTATCCCCTCTCCCCCAATGCTGTGCGTTACTCACTGGGCACTGTGCTTCTTCCACAGTGTCCTGTGGGTCCCATGGGACTGCTGAGGGGGTGCTCTCCCCAGGGCCGGGCACAGTCGAAGACACCCCCTAGAGCCAGTGCACTCAGTCAGAGCCCTTGGTGGAGGGGAGAGTGGCACAGGGAGCTGCCATAGGCCAGGGTCGAGTCCCCAGCCCATACCCCACGGAGGGGGAGCCCCTGGCCCCTGTGTCCCGGCTCTGCCCTGAGTGCGCCCCTTTCTCACTGCAGCAGCTGGAGCGTCGACAGCTCTTCCAGGCGGCGGCAGAGAAGCACCAGCACATGTACCGCCTGGCCATGACGGGCGCCGGCATTGACCGACACCTCTTCTGCCTCTATGTGCTCTCCAGGTACCTGGGGGTGGAGTCGCCCTTCCTGGCGCAGGTGAGGATTCCCTAGGGCCTGCCCGGATGGGTGTGCCCCGGGCCAGGGCAGCAGGGGCTGCACAGACAGCCAGGGTACGGCTGCGCCAGCCCTGCTTGCCCTGTGTCTCCCATATGGTGCCAAGTAACCATGGCCCCTGCTAGGGCCGTCTGCTGCCTGCGCGGGGGCCTGTGGGGATCTGCCTTCCACCTCTTCCCAGCTTTGAACTCGGAATCCGGGGACACACAATCTCAGGGCCAGCGCAACCCATTAGGCAACCTAGGCGGTCGCCTAGGGCACTAACATTTGTGGGGCGGCGACCGCGGCGGCCGGATCTTCGGCCGCCCTGGTCGTTGTTGGTATTTCAGGGGCGGGACCTTCCACCACCTAGGGCGGCAAAAAAGCTGGCGGCGCTCCTGCATAATCTCCATTCCTGGTTCCAACCCTGAGCGGGAGAGGAACAGCAGAGGGGAAGGGAAGGGAAGGGACATGAAGAGGAAAGATAGTGGCCGTGCCAGTGACCCTAGCAGCCAGGTAGGCAATACTGGCAACAGAATGACTGTGCCCAGCTGGGCGAAGCCGAGCAGGAACAACGAAGATGTCTGACTCCAAAGCAAGGAGTCGGGGTAACAAGCTGGAGGAGGTAGAACTACGGGTGCAGGAGGTGAAAGCAGGTATTCTAGGGGTAACAGAAACAAGTGGGAATAGTAGTCATGAGTAAGGCTAAGATTTTGTCAGAGATATTTTTAGTAAAAGTCACAGATGGGTCACGGGCAAAAAAGAAAAATTCACAGAAGCTGTGACCTGTCCATGACTTTTACTAAAAATATACCTGACAAAATGGGGATCTGTGGGTCGCCACACCGCCTGAAGTGGGGCAGCTGCGGGGGCGGGGGCTAGGAGCCACCTGCAGCAGCTGGGGGCTGCAAAGTACCCCTGCCGTCTGCAGCTCCAGGGGTCCCCTGCTGCCCATGGGGGCCAGGAGCTGTGGGGTACCCCCGTTGGTGGCGGCCGGGGGCTCAGGGATTCTTCCCAGACAAGGTCAGCTCCCAGACTGCTGCATTGGACAGCACAGTATGGGGCGGAGGTGAGCAGCCCTCAGTGGTGAAAGAACAGGTTAAGGACTATTTAGAAAAGCTGGACATGCACAAATCCATGGGGCCGGATCTAATGCATCTGAGGGAGTTGGCTGATGTGATATGCAGAGCCATTGGCCATTATCTTTGAAAACTCGTGGTGATCGGGGAGGTCCCGGACTATTGGAAAAAGGCAAATATAGTGCCCATCTTCAAAAAAGGGAAGAAGGAGGAACTACAGACTGGTCAGTGTCACCTCAGTCCCTGGATAAATCATGGAGCAGGTCCTCAAGCACTTGGAGGAGAGGAAAGTGATCAGGAACAGTCAGCATGGATTCACCTAGGGCAAGTCATGCCTGACCAACCTGATTGCCTTCTATGATGAGATAACTGGCTCTGTGGATATGGGGAAAGCGGTGGACGTGATATACCTTGACTTTAGCAAAGCTTTTGATATGGTCTCCCCCAAAACAACGAGGAGTCCGGTGGTACCTTAAAGACTAACAGATTTATTTGGGCATAAGCTTTCGTGGGTAAAAAACCCACTTCTTCAGATGCATGGAGTGAAAATTACAGATACAGGCATAAATATACCGACACATGAAGAGAAGGGAGTTACCTTACAAGTGGAGAACCAGTGTTGAAGGTCAATTCAGTCAGGGTGGATGTAGTCCACTCCCAATGATTGATGAGGAGGTGTCAAGGTAAAGAGAGGGAAAATTGCTTTTGTAGTGAGCCAGCCACTCCCAGTTCCTATTCAAGCCCAAATTAATGGTGTTAAATTTTCAAATGAATTGTACCGCTGCAGTTTCTCTTTGAAGTCTGTTTTTGAAGTTTTTGTTGTTGAAGGATGGCTACTTTTAAATCTGTTATTGAATGTCCAGGGAGATTGAAGTGTTCTCTACTGGCTTTTGTATGTTACCATTCATGCAAATAAGACCTAAGGGTTACAGTGTGCCCTTTTTGCCAAGAAGGCTAATGGCATTTTGGGCTGTATAAGTAGGGGCATTGCCAGCAGATCGAGGGATGTGATTATTCCCCTCTATTCAACATCGGTGAGGCCTCATCTGGAATATTGTGTCCAGTTTTGGGCCCCACACTACAAGAAGGATGTGGAAAAATTGGAAAGAGTCCAGCGGAGGGTAACAAAAATGATTAGGGGTCTGGAGCACATGACTTATGAGGAGAGGCTGAGGGAACTGGGATTGTTTAGTCTGCAGAAGAGAAGAATGAGGGGGGATTTGATAGCTGCTTTCAACTACCTGAAAGGGGGTTCCAAAGAGGATGGATCTAGACTGTTCTCAGTGGTGGCAGATGACAGAACAAGGAGTAATGGTCTCAAGTTGCAGTGGGAGAGGTTTAGGTTGGATATTAGGAAAAACTTTTTCACTAGGAGGGTGGTGAAGCACTGGAATGGGTTCCCTAGGGAGGTGGTGGAATCTCCTTCCTTAGAGGTTTATACGTCAGGCTTGATAAAGCCCTGGCTGGGATGATTTAGTTGGTGTTGGTCCTGCTTTGAGCAGGGGGTTGGACTAGATGACCTCCTGAGGTCTCTTCCAACCCTAATCTACTATGATTCACCCACCACCCATGGCAGCTGGGGGTTTGGGGGCCCTCTGCCAGGGGCTCGGGGATTCCCCCGCCGCCTGGGTTGGCTGGGGGCTCAGGGGTTTCCCTGCTGGTGGCCAAGGGTCCTCTGCCGGCAGGAGTTTGGGGGTTCCCTTGCCGTCTGCAGGGGCCAAGGGCTCAGGGTCTCCCCCGCCGCCCGCAGCGGCTTGGAGCTCTGAGGGCCGCCAGAGGTGCCGGGGGCATCCCGCAGCTCCCTGCGCCAGCTGGAGTTGGGGGACCATGCAGCTCCCATCCACCGCAAGCTGATGTCATGGAGGTCACTGGAAGTCATGGATTCTGTGACTAAATCGTAGCCTCAGTCATGAGTGGAGCAAGGTACTGAAGGGTACGTGCTGTTCAGCAAGGATAGAAACGAAGGCAGAGGTTGGAGTGGCACTGCATATTAATGATGAGTAGGCTGTAAAGACAGGATGGAGTGAATAAAACAGAATCTGTTTGGGTCAAAATCACTTTGGGGAAGAAAGATACTAGAGGTTCCCCTGGGATAGGGTTCAGGGTCTGCTACAGGATCCGATCTGAATATGGATAGAGACCTCCTTAATTTGTGTGACGGTGCTGCCCGTGGGAGCCAGCTGAGGTCACTCAATCAGGGTGAACTGCAAACAGAACGGGGCAGACAAACCCCAAACGCTGGTGGATCTTCCAATACTTAGATTTACCAACCAGCCCAAAACAACTTCTGTAGGACCTCACTGGTCACTCAGAGTCCAAACAACGCAGTTCCCTTAAAGTGCCCGGCCTCAGGCCTCCGTCCAGACACACCTGTCAGATATGATGATGATTACTGAGAATCTTCTCTCATCATATAAAAGAAAAGGTTCTTCCAACCCCAAAGGATCAGTCACATACCCAGGTCCAATTATAACTTAGATCTTACCCAAAATACACGCTATAGCCAATTCTTATTAACTAAACTAAAATTTATTAGAAAAGAAAAGAGGGAGAGAGTTGGTTAAAAGATCAATATACAGACAGACTTGAATTCAACTCTTGAGGTTCAGATACATATCAGAGATGAGCTTGTAGTTGCCAAAAGTCCTTTCTGCCTGAGAAAACAACAGGCCTAACTCTCCTTCTGCCACACATCCTGGCAATTAGCACAGGGTAATTTATCCATTAAACAGTTCAGATACAGGTTACCACAACCTTCATAGAGACAATAATACTATTTCCCTCAAGTGTCATCATAAATGTTAATATTCCTTTTTTGATCTTTGAATTAAAGTTATAGCAATAGACAAGACTTGTTTGCTTATATCACAAGACCTGAGCAAACATCTACCCTTGAGATCTCTAACAATGCAGACTTGCATTTCAAAGCTCTATTTATTTACATATCTTCCTAACCAGTCCTTAAGGTTCACCCCTGGGTCAGGTCAGTCTGAGTTAAATAACTCTTTCTGGCCCTGTCACCTTCCAATGAAATATTATATTAGACTCATAACATCACAATTTGTTTACTAAATTAAAAATTACTGGGAATTGTGTGATTATGAGAGACTGACTTCCTGGATATAGATCGGAGGACAAGTGCTACTAAGAATGGTAGAGCCCAGGTATTCCTGACTGTGATGGCTGACAGTCATCTTCACCAGATACGCCCTGAACCCACAAGAGGCGATGCTATTGTAGATTTTGTATTGGGAGGTGGCGAGGCCTTCACAGAAGAGCTGGTTGTAGGGGACAACCTTGGTTCCAGTGATCATGAGCTAATTCATCTTAAACTAAATGGAAGGATAAACAAAACTAGATCTGCAGCTATGGGCCTTGATTTCAGAAGATCAAACTCTAAAATCATGAAGGGAATGAGTCAGGGAAGTGGAGTGGAGTGGACTGAAGAACTCAAGGATCTGAATGTGGAGGAGACCTGGAATTACTTTAAATGAAAGTTGCAGAAGCTCTGTGAAGCCTGCAGCCCAAGCAAGGGGAAAACATTCGTAGGGAAGGGTTGCAGGCCAAGCATCTCAACCAGGTGATTAGAGAAAGCAGAAAGCCCACAAGGAGTGGAAGAAGGGAGGGATCAGCAAGGAAAGCTGCCTCTTGGAGGTCAAAAGAAGAACGGGAGTACTTGTGGCACCTTAGGGTACGTCTACACTACGAAATTAGTTCGAATTTATAGAAGCCGGTTTTATTGAAATCGGTTGTATACAGCCGATTGTGTGTGTCCACACAATAAAATGCTCTAGGTGCTCTAGTCGGCGGACCGCGTCCACAGTACAAGGCTAG